TTGGATGTGACAGTAGATGAACTTTATGGTGTGAGCTGACCAGGACCAGGTACTGAACTTAGAAGACCTATGTAGCAAAGTATTTGCGGGGCAATTTGAGCAGACTCTTAACTTGCCTGCACCCTGCCTGGGCTGCTACTCAACCAAGACGGTGGCTTCCCCAACCTCCCAGCATCCTCCTATCTTCTGAATGTGAGCAGCTTAGTGCGGTCCCTCCATGCAGAACTATCCAGAAGGAAAAGTTAGCAGGGCCTGGGGTCCTGAGGGCACTGAAGCAGAACAAGGCCTAGGCCCTGGGACTTGTGACTCCCAACACAGTGTTCACTTAGCCAGACTGAAGGTAGTAGAGTCAGAGGTAGGCCCCTAGGAACCCCACCTCCTTATCTCTGCCGTTTAAATTGTCTCTTGCCCAATCTGGGAGTAGTGACAGGAGTTTGCAATCCCACCATTGTGAAGCCTCAGTGGGCCTCCATCTTCAGCTTTGAAAAGAGAAGGCCCACCCCTATGTTTTTTCCTGGGGCAGCTGCTGGGGAGCTTACCCAGTGCAAAGGAGAACTTGTTCTTCAGAAAGGGAGAAGGTGCTGCTGATTGGGAGATTGATGAGGATGAAGCTTCCATCCACAAGGAGCTCCTGACATGGCCAGGGACCCATAAGTGGGGCTTCCAACACTGAGTTAGAGGCGGGTAGCTGCCTGAGCCCTCAGGGGAAGCCACGGGAAAGCTCCCAGGGCTTTTGAAGTACCAGAATGAGCTGAGCGTGCCATCCCTTGCTACTCCCTTCCATTGTCTTATCCTCTTGACCCTCAAAAATTTCTTACATAAGCAAAAGAAAAAATGTCAGCTGCCACATGGAACTGAGGAATGGAGGGGCTCCTTGTAAAAGGAGCAGGGCTCCTCTTCCATTCATTCATGCACACACTAAGCAAACATTTGCTGAACACCCTCTGTGCCAGGTCCCGTCTGGGTGTCCATGCCAGGAGAGAGGCAGGAAGACCTGGGCTCACAGCTCCTACCTCCCAGGCCAAAGGACTGATGAAGGTCACTCAGAGTGATGGGAGGGGAGAGCTGGAGTGTGTGAGGAGCTCCTGCTCATCATGGTAGCCCCAGCCGCAGCAACAGCACGCCTGGCAGAGTCCATACTCAAGCAAGGAACAAGGTTCTGTGGGGCCATAGAGGAGCGTGCCTGGCTCAGCCTGAAGTCAGGAGCAGCTCCTGCAGGAGGCCACCTGGGGAACAACAGGCATTAGCCAGGCTGTGGGTGAGAGGTCTGGGTGGGAAGAGGAAAGAGGAGAGAGATCTAGGCAAGAGGAATGCGAGTCACGAAGAGCAAGCTTCCTGGAGAACGTGAAAACAGTCTGTGACCACCACGGTCCCATCCAGCTGTGGAATCTCATAGTGTCTGCTCCAGGATCTCTCCTCGATGCTGGAGAAGAACGAGGCCCAGCCAAGTTGAGGGCAAAATTTACCCTCTGACAGGATCGTAGTGACCCTTTCTTGAGGATTCCTGGAGAGATGAGTAGAGGACATGAGATAAGCCCTATGCATCTCCCCCAGCCTCAGAGGCTCTGTCTACAACCCTACCCATCAGTGCCTGGGCCTTCCTGCACTGCCCTGACGCTGTTAGTCTGTGAGGGGACTATGGGTCAGTTGAACTCTGAAAAGAGCCTCCCAACCCCTTTTAGGCACACCCAGCAAAGATTGTAGTAGTACCCATTTTACCAATGGGGAAACAGGCCACCAGAGTTAGGTCCTTTCTTAAAGTCTCACTGCAGTCACATCAGGACTGATTCCAGGGTGCCCACGTTGCCATTTATCTTGGGCTATAGCAGGCCAGGTGCCTTGAAGGAGATGAGAGGGAAGTGGGGAATAGCTTGGACTTCAGGACATATCAGGCAGGAAGTGTCTGGTCAGACAGGGATCTGACCGAGAGGTTGGGGACAGCCCTGTGTTGGGAGTGGGCAGCCACCGAACCCAGATCCTCTTTGTTCCTAACGCTCCCAGCCCACAACTGTGGGAAATCAGTCAGAGGCGGGACAGTGTGGCCCTCGGTCTTGCTCCTACTGCTGGCCCCTTCCCTTGATCAGAAGTAGCTTCCTCACATCCAGATTTGGGGAGGGGCAGAACTTACACACAGGTCCTGATTTCTTGGTACTCTGTCTGCCTCCTTGCTTGCCTAAAGTAGCAAGCAGACTTCTTAAAGCAGGAGTCCAGTCAACCTGGGTTAGGGTATTGTGCATTGATCCCGAGGCTCCCCAGTGGGTATCTGCTTGCTTTATACTCTTTAGTAACTCGGGCATAGGTCAGAAAATGCCAGTTTGAGGATCCTTGAGACGTCTTTCTCATTCACCTGCTTTCGAGAGGAAAGAATGCTAAATAACAGAACCTAGAGTTGGGGGCTTGGGAACTGTGACCACTGGCTACCTACTGGGATCGAGAAGAGTTGAGGGTCTCCTGGTGACGTCTTTGGGGAATTGAACTGCCATCTCAGAGGGGCCATGGCTGAACAACAGCCTCCAGTCTCCTATCCTAGAATGAGGGGTGAACTGGTGATCAGGTGAGTCAGGAGTGCTCAGAGGGGCACCTCAATACCAGACAATATTCACTCAGCCCACCCATGCCTGCCACTGCCCCAAAGGGAGACACCAGACTCTCCCAGGAGAGGTCTTCATGGGCTCATTGACTCTGGGCAGCTCCTCTCATTTGCTGTGGGTGCTGGTCATTGGCTGTTTCAGCCACCAATCACGAGCTGGCTGTGCTTTCCACCAGTGGGGCTGACTTCATGGCTATCTCCATGCCCAGGCTCTGCCTGGGCTCTATTTAGGCTGGCTGCCCAGGAGCAAGGAACTGTGCCCCTTCCAGTCCCTGGCAGCTAGGTGCCTTGAAGGATTCTGACCTCTCATCCAAAGAGCTTTGCCTGGACCCCACTCCGCTTCTAGGACGTTGGTGGTTGACCCTGACCCCCATAAGGGCATTTCTTCCTTTCTCAACAAATGGTATTGAGGCCTTACTAGGTGCCAAGTTCTGTGATTAAAAACAAGTTACAGAGCAGAGTTAGACTCCAAATCTGCCCTGGAGATGCTCAAGTGAAGTTGGTGGTGGTGATGGGGAAGTGGGGGTGGGAGAGGGAGCAGACCTATCAACGATAGGAGTGGTCAGTTCTGTGAAAGGAGAGGGATGGGAAGGGTGGTCAGAGGGCATGTGGAGAACCCTGAAAGATCTGCCATGGAAGGAACATCAGGAAGCAAATGTGGATCCTCTCAATTTGTGGATGGGGAAACCGAGACCCAGAAGTGACTTAGCTGGGGGTCACTTGGTGAGGTAGAGGCAGGTTCTCAGACTCCTGGCTCCCAGCCAGGGCCCTTTTGACGGTACCAGCTGGCCTTTCTGGTTTTCTGTATCCCGATCCTCGTGTCCTAACTCCACTTTTGGAAAAACATTTGACATCTCTATCCAGTGGTCACCCAAGAGGTGCCCGCTCAGGCCCAAGGAGCTGGGCGCTGCCAGTCCTTCCTCCAGAGGTGGCGTGGCCTCCTCTCAGGCCTAGAATGGGGTGGTTGCGTTTTTCTCTCTCTCTCTCTATCTCTCTTGCATTTTTGTGAATCTAATGATGAACTTATGCTACCACACTTTTCCCTTCTCTTACACACCTTACCTACTAAAGGAGGAAGTGCCACTTTATTGGTAAGTGGACGTTAACCAAGAGGGACTTAAAAAATCAGAACTTTAAAAAAAAAAAAAGAAAAAGAAAAAAGAAAAGAGAGAAACAGAAAGACAGTCGGGTGCTACTGACAGCTTCACAGCTCTCTGCAGGGCCGGAAAACAAAGAAAACTGCCCCTGGCCTGCCCTCCCGGTGCCGCCCTCTCTCTTCTCTTTGCCGGGAATCGTCTGTCCCATCCGGGGGCAATGCCAGCCCCAGGCCCATCCTGGAGCCCCCGCCCCTTCAGCCCCCCACCCTCCCACCGCTCCGTCCCTCTTGTGTTTTGCATGCCGGAACCTTGCATGAGCTGCACTGTTGAGGCCAGAAGGTGGACACTCAGGAGAGGCAGAGGCAGGGCAGGCGCGGGGAACCGTGTGTGCGATGCTCCGGGAAGTGCCACTTTATTGGTAAGTGGACGTTAACCAAGAGGGACTTAAAAAATCAGAACTTTAAAAAAAAAAAAAGAAAAAGAAAAAAGAAAAGAGAGAAACAGAAAGACAGTCGGGTGCTACTGACAGCTTCACAGCTCTCTGCAGGGCCGGAAAACAAAGAAAAATATTAACAGAAAAATGTCAGGTTCCCCAGGAGATCAGACATTGTTTTTGATTTTGATATCTAATGACATTTGTGGATTTTGTTTTTCTTTTTGTTTTTCCTCCCTTTCTTCAGTTCAGTTTTGAGTTCAGTTGCCCCGCCCCCACCCCATCTGTGTGCCGTGTGACTTCTCCATCCCCTGCCCACCCCCTAGCGCTGGGGGGCCTGGCCTGGTGGGCTGGCCCTGGCCTGGCCTCCCGGTGCCGCCCTCTCTCTTCTCTTTGCCGGGAATCGTCTGTCCCATCCGGGGGCAATGCCAGCCCCGTGCCCATCCTGGAGCCCCCGCCCCTGAGGGTGGACACTCAGGAGAGGCAGAGGCAGGGCAGGCGCGGGGAACCGTGTGTGCGATGCTCCGGGACTGGCAGCCCCCGGCCCGGGCCCGGTGAAAGCCCTTTCTCCTTCTCTCCCCCCACCCCACCCGCCCTCTCTCTCACCCTCAATCTCTTGCTCTTTCTCTTGGTCTGTCCTTTTCTCTATCTCCGCGTTTCCGCTTTTTCCTCTCCCCCGCCCCCCAAACGTCTCCCTGGGCTCTTTCTCTCCATCTCTCTGGTTCTGCGTGTCCCTCTGTACTTTCGGATTCCCACTCTTTATCTCTGTTTCCACCTGTCTCTCTGCTCTGTCTCCCCGTCCCATCTCTCCCCTTCTCTGTCTCTCTCTCCGTTTCCCTCTCCACCCCCTCCGTGCCTTCTCTGCCTCTCTCCTCGTCAGAAGCCCAGCTCGCCCTCGCCCAGGGCCCGCGACA